AAAATAAGATACCCCACATTTAGCAGCACATTTAGATGGACTTCTGACTTGTAAAATAGTTTGACCAACTTATAACATCGTCCATTCACTTTCATATAATTCTAATATATTACTATTAGAATATTGTTGAAAAATGAATTGTCTTTTTGTAGTGGAGCTTTGAGCTCAACCTATAGCACATATTCGTTTGGGCTACACAATTTTCTGTTAGACTCTGATGATTAGTTACGTGTTTTCTCTTAAACCCATTCGTCGAAATCATCAAAGATCATTATACTTAATATTAAGCTAATAAATATAAGAATATTGCTATATAGCACCCCTTGGTGTTATAACACCCGTCTAAGTGGCATGTAAGTGATAGATCATCTTAAATATAAAATTTTCCCAATTTTAAGGTAATCTATCAATTTATTTTCGCCACGTCTCGATATCATCCATTTCGGAGAAATCAAACTCGGGGGAAAAAAAAGAACAGATCTGTGTCGTTGTGCACGAAGGAGAAAACAATAGATCTGCACTGCTATTCACTAAGGAGAGCCGCACACGAAGCAGCAAAATCGATGCACACAAAAGAAGCGCCACCACTGGTCGCAACATCGATCCACACAAAAGAGCGTCGCTTCATGGTGCACAAAGCGGTAACACCTAACATGAAGAAGCACTATTGCTCCGTAAAGATTCACTAGAGTGGGTGCACTGTGAAGAACTATCGGAGTATGTACGTTGTGAAGGTGGAGGTGACAGTGAATAGTTTTGAAAATGAATTAGGTTTTGTAGGGTAGGAGTCAATGTGAGGTGGGGGTAGAGATCGTCGATGTGAGCTCAGTGGTGGTCTCTAATAGTGGGTGCGACGGAGCTGGAGTTTTGAGTTAGGTGGAGAGTGTGAGAAAATAGAAGATGGAGAGAAATGAATTTTAGGGTTTGGGATTAAATTGGATTGGGATGAGGTTGGAAAAATTTTATATTATTATTATTAATAGTTAAATTAACACCTCATATATAATTAAATAAATTTATTATTTGATTTTTGAACTCTCATCTTAAAAAAATCTAGTCTAGTGCAATTTTCACAATGGGAAAAATACCTAACTACCTGTAAGTGTTATGCCCTAGGCCCAATCAACTTTGGACATAAACACTTTGAATATATATATAATCAATGCATATGTATGGCAATATCTATTATTTAATTGAATTAATATTCTAATAAATTAAATAATAGAATCCGTAGATTCAAGTCTTGGTGATTTGTTAATCACAAGGAGTTGTGATTGTGAGATACAAATTACATATGACTGAATCTT